AACCACCTCTGGCATAGAACATCCACATCCATCCATTTAATGACCATTTAAATGGAATGTCCTTTTATTAACACCAAGGCGGGTAATTCATTCAAATGGAAAGGCAGTGGGTCCCACTGTTGCCATTCAAAGGATTGAATGACATTTGATGATATAAGGTGAGGTCATTTTCAATATATACTAGTTTTTAACCTGTGCATTTGCACGGAAAACAATATAATAGAACAAAAAATAATAAAAATATATAAACAATACTAAAAGTCATAATATAATCATTGGAAATTAAAACGTTTGTGCTTTTTCTATCAACACAATTTAAAACGTTTGTGGTTATAACATACATATGTAACTTTTATGTATTTTGTTCAGATTTTGAAAACTAAATAGTTCAATTCTTTGTCGTCTTTCTCATCATATCAGTAAGTGAAGCTTTGCTAACACTTGTTCAAAATCGCTTTTCGAAGTTGTTCAAAGCCTTTTGCCGAAGTTTTTGAAAATTTTTAGTATTTTGTTCAAAATTTGGAAAGATTAGGTAAGTTTATAATAAATCTGTTTAGATATATTTATCACATATTAGGAATTTCTTGTTTAATGTTTAAAAGAATCTGTAGGAATTTTTATTTTTAAAACTTTTACGCAAAAAAATCGATTTTAATATAAAGGCAGATGTCTTGGTAAAAGTTGAATGTGTTGATAATGATAGGGAAATCAAATTATTTTTCTTTCTATATTGTATAGTGTTCAATAATGTTCCACATAATTTACTGTGTTTTTAATTTTCATTTTTTCATATAGATTTGACTTTTTTTTGTTGATTATTAATTATGCTTGATATTTCTATATTATGCAATAATCTGCCATTACATACAATGCCTTGTCAATTCTCATTATTTGACTTTGCCAATTTCCGTTTAATATGACTTTTCTGTTGCTGAAAGTATGTTTTTAATGCATTAAAATATTGATGTTTTGGATATTTTTGATGCTATAATCATGCAGAAATTTGTCCTACCACTTTTTTCTTAAAGAGGAATTGTTTAATGAAAATTAATCATATTTATATTTATAATTGTGAAATAATATTTTTTTTCACGGCCAACAGTTATTTTTTTTAATGAAAAATATGAGACAATTTATTCAACACACTTTTTAATTTATAAAAAAAAAAGAATGTTGATTGCGATAATCAAATATGCAGAAATCATGCATTTTATTGAATAGTAGTAATATAAAATATTTTATTATTACTACCAAATAGAAAGTCAAAGATAGTTAATTTTGCACTATTAATTATGATCATATGGTTTTTTTTTATACATATGTTTTTTCAATGAACTTTTTAAATGATAATATTGACAATATAGACTTTGCTATAATAATTATATAGACTGTGTTATAATAATTGTTGTGTACAAATTATTTTCTTTTACCGAGCACCGAATCAAATGATTCGTTTCCCGGGTCGATCTCTCGAGGAAGACTGTTCGGAATTTAATATTGATGTCGATTAACTTATACGTCGATTACGGAAAATAATGAAAATAAATCCTAAACACTCTAATCAAAATGGATTGAATAATAATTAACTAAAATATCAACTAAGAAATAACAATAATAATCTACCTAAAAATATAAACAAGACAATAATAAAGAAGCTAGGGAATCGGGAATAAATCACTTCCGGTTTTACACTCATTCAACGACAATCAATAACTCGGTTAAGTAGTTCAACTAACTAACTCATTTAGCAGTTCAACCATACTAACTCTCGTAATATATGGAAAAACATAAACGAGCAAATTAACGAAACAATTAACACATAGACAATACGTCTCCGAACATGTCTATTCTAAACGAGCCAAGTTCTATCAATTTCTCCCCTTTCGGTTATGAAATAGATTATTTTTTTACAACTCCTCCCCTCTCGGTTCTACAAATTGTAATTCACAAAATTAACAAACTTTAACTTAATAAATCAATATCAAGCACAAATCAAAGTGTCACTCTTTGATTATATCATAAAATTAACCTAAGTGTCACTCTTAGGTTATAAAGATTTACCAAGTTTAATTTATTAATTCATGATTAAAACAACTCGTCAAGATGGAATTATCATCATGCGTATAAACGAGCTTAAACCGGAATAATTATTCCCTACCCCTAGCTAATGATTTAGCTATTCATATCAAATATAAACTCAACATAGGATTCATTGCAAATTATAATTACAAGAAAGAAAACTTACATGTAATCCAAGTTGATGAATAAAGTTGATACAAACGCCAAACTGAGAATAAATACACGCCAAACCGGAACAAGTACAAGCCTTGGAGAACACCTCCAGAATTCAACACAAGAACTAATCTAGAAACATACTAAGTGAAAGTAATGGAAGGATTAAAGGATTGTGATAAATTTGGATTTTTAGGAGATGGTTTGGATGATGAATGAAGTGGGTATTTATAGATGATAAGTAGCATACCAATATCAACACTATCAACCATTGTCAACACTATCATCAACAACCATCATCTACCAAGGAGAAAAAGGAAGAAAAGTGAAGAAAAGTGAGAAAAATCGTTGCCAACTCGCGGCCTTCTCGCGACTGAACTGCGCGGCTTTACGTTTTTGGCTCAAAAACTCCCATTATAAAAAAAAAATAAAATAAAAATCAACGAAACACACAAGAAAGCAGTAAATCACTTGGGTTGCCTCCCAAGAAGCGCTTGTTTAACGTCATTAGCTTGACGAAACCTGTACAACTCAGCCGGGGTCCAAGAAAAAGTGACGGTCGTGCCACGCCTTCGTATTCTCGAGAAGCGGAGAACATTGCTTTGTTTTAAGTGTGGGGGAGTAATCTCATAATTATGCATGCTTAGGCGTCATTTTAGGTGTGTGTTTGTGTCGATTTCCCCATATGAAGCTTAATGTTTGTTTTAAGTCAAAATGACTAAGTGGTTAGTTTGGATTGTCGTTTGGTTTCATTGATAATTCTGATGCTCGATGTACTTGATGAATTTGACGGTTCCCTTAAAATTAAATGAAGATTTGTTGACATTGGAAACCACAATTGTGTTCGAAAAAATTGTTTTGTCCCTTGTTTATAATTACAAGAAAGAAAACTTACATGTAATCCAAGTTGATGAATAAAGTTGATACAAACGCCAAACTGAGAATAAATACACGCCAAACCGGAACAAGTACAAGCCTTGGAGAACACCTCCAAAATTCAACACAAGAACTAATCTAGAAACATACTAAGTGAAAGTAATGGAAGGATTAAAGGATTGTGATAAATTTGGATTGTGATTAATTTGGATTTTTAGGAGATGGTTTGGATGATGAATGAAGTGGGTATTTATAGATGATAAGTAGCATACCAATATCAACACTATCAACCATTGTCAACACTATCATCAACAACCATCATCTACCAAGGAGAAAAAGGAAGAAAAGTGAAGAAAAGTGAGAAAAATCGTTGCCAACTCGCGGCCTTCTCGCGACTGCACTGCGCGGCTTTACGTTTTTGGCTCGTTTTGGCTCGTCCGAACTCGGAATTGAGTTTAGTTTTTTTCTACGCGTAGCTAACAAACCCCTCTATCCAATGATGCTTTAAAACCACACTTTTGCCCAGGATACAAATTTTGTG